CAGTTGTAAGATGTATTATTATTGTTAGAATTCTGCAATTTGATTTGATTCTATCAAATTCAAATTAAAGAATGATTTATTTGATCAAATCTAAATTAATGTTTGATTTGATTCGATCAAATTCAAATCAAGTATTTAAATATTTGATTAGATTTAAATCAATAGTAAAGCCATCTTCAAATCTTTAGAAGTAGCTCTTACTAAAAAAAAAACATAGTAAAAAGCGCCTTCGCAGCTTTGAAAATGTTTTTTTACTAAGAAAACCATAGCAAAAAGTGCTTCCACAGCTTTAGAAATGCTTTTTTACTAAGAAAACTATAGTAAAATGCACTTTTGCAGCTTTGAAAATGCCTTTTTTACTAAAAAAACATAGTAAAAAATGTCTTTACAGCTTCAGAGACGTTATTTTATTAAGAAAACATAGTAAAAAACGCCTATGCAACTTTAGAGATGCTTTTTACCAAGAAACTTAGTAAAAAACACATTGGCAACTTTAAAAATGTTTTTTACTAATAATAATTATTACGAAGCCAAGATAGTGATTATTACTAAGTTTTTTTGTAAAACTGAAGCTGTGATGACAGTTATTACTAAGTTTTTTAGTAAAACTGAAGCTGTGAAAGTGGTTATTACTAAGTTTTCTTAGTAAATCGAAGTTGCGATAACAGTTATTACTAAGTTTTCTTATTAAAACTGAATTTGTGAAGTTATTTTACTAAGTTTAATAGTAAAAATTCACCTATTACTAAACTTACTTTTTAAAAGCTATCTTTAAAATTTTTTAGTGCAATTACTAATAATTTTCTTAATTAAAATTTTAGAATAACTTTATTTTAATATATCATTGTAAAAATCAAAAAAAAATTATATTTGATTCAATTTGATTCAATTGATTCGATCAAATATTTGATTTGATTTGATTTGACAAATATTTGATTTAATTTGATTTGATTTGATTAAATTCAAATAGATTCAAATTGATTCGATCAAATATTTGAGTTCAATTTGATTTGATTCAATTTTGAGGAATTCTAATTATTGTATTTATATTCATTTACAGTAGTGATGACATCTGTAGCTTTTCCTACAAGAAATTGAATTATAATTTTACAAAAACATTATATTTTGCATGTCTTCTACTATTATGTTTACACAAATCAGTGATAATTTCTAGATCTTTAAATCTAAAACAATTCTAACATACTCATCTACTTTTTCTTCATTAAAAGTTTTGGCTGCAAAAGATTCACCTGTTAACATTTGATAAGTTGTTCAAAGTACTGATAGTTTAGTTTTAGAAAAAGTAGATTGCAAGTATATATATAATTGATCTATATTATTTATATATAAAAATGAGATATACCAGTTTGTAATTTACTTGCAATTCACATATTTTCTTGTAACATTATCGATTTATTAGCATATGTATCAATTTTTCAATTAAGATTGCATTAAAAGAACTGTTTTCAAAATTAAATCGATATTCTCTAACTTTTAAAAGAAAATGCATGAGATAAGCCTTGGATGTAACAAATTCTTTGCCTGTAATACAAATCAATTTATTAGTTTTATATACTAACAATTAAAGAATATTTCTTTTACTTTCTTCTACTCATACAGAATAGGTTAGAAAGTATTTTTCAATATCAACTAGTTTCTATAACAAAAAATTAATAAGCAAATATTTGAGATTTCTGTATTTAGATTTATCAGATTTATCATTAGATGTAACCAATCATTTTTCATATGGATTTTGATTGTTGTAGCTTTTTCAATAGATCATATATGAGTTTCTGATGTATTACAAAGCCAGTCAAAATTGCTATTAACATCCATAAAAGTTTGAAAAGAAGTTTACTGAAGAGTCTGAAAAAAATTTTTCCTATTCTAACATACTTTTACTTTTTCATTTTATTAGTTTATTTATTATACATTCACATTTTAATTTTATTCAGAAATGCAATCAAAAAAGGATAATTTGCTTGAAAGTGTAATCAGAAAAAGGAAAGTTCACTTAGGAATGTAGTCAAAAAAAAGTCATTGTTATATTAAATCTTATTTTGCCGATAAATAATATCATAATTAAAGATGGATACTATAATTAAGAAGTTGCAACTAGATTGTAACTTCTTGTAAATTTATTTTAATATAAAAATTCATAAATAGTTGCAACTAGTTAAAAATTTTAAAAATAATTATGGGAACCATTTTTAATCATAATCAATTTTGTCAATTAATATAATAAAATTAGTTAATATTATATATTAATTGCAAATTTGATTAATTGTTTTATTTCTTTTTACATTTGCAATAGTAAAATTTATTGAATAAAGAAATAATCAAAGGTTATATCTTTCATGAATAATTGAGAAATCAATATTAAATTAAAATGTGATTTATTAAATAGTTTATTATATTAATACGTAGTATAAAAAATTTTTAACATATAAAAATTTTAACTGGATAGCCAAGTTGTGAAACAATAAAATCATTAAGTAAAATTTCTTATTTTAAAAATAAAAATCCATGCAGCTGGATTATATAAAAATAATTTTAGATATAAAAATATGAAAACCAATTTTTTTATTTTATGTGATCTAATATATATATATAGATAATATAAATATTAATACAATTGATTCTAAAGAAACAATAAAAATCATTTTAAAAGAGCAATACAACTATTTTTAAAGGAACAATACTTTATCATTCTAAAAGAATATTATTTTATTATTCTTTTGGAATAATATATCATTATACTAAAAGAATAATCACTTTATTAGAATAATATATAATTGTTCTAAAAGAAATTTTTTTACTATTCTTTAGAAATGATATATCATTATTCTGAAAGAACAATTATTTTTTATTATTCTTTAGAAATGGATTAATTATCATTCCAAAAAGAACAATATTATTTTTATTGTTTTTTATATTGATACATTATCATTTTAAAAGAATAATTTTTTTTTATAGTTTTATTCAAATAATACATAATCATTTCTAAAAAATAGTTTTTTTATCATTCTTTAGGAATAATTTAATTATCATTTCAAAAAAATTATCATTTTTTTTGAATAATCAAATTAATTTCTTAAAAATAATTTTGTAATCATTCTTAAGAAATAATCAGAATATTATTTCTTAAAAATAAACTTATTATAGTTCTTTATATCTGATTATCTGATTATATAAAAGTTATCTATAAATTATCTACAAATAATCCATATAAAATTAGTATAGTAGATATTTGTATAATTGGTTAATTTATATGTTAATCATTTTCTAATTATCATTAAAATAATTAATTTTGATTGGCTTAATTTTATTATTAAATTTAATAATAATATTAATATTGTTTGATTTAAAATTAATAAATTTTTATAAATATTTCAAGTGCTATTTTAAATTTAAGAATTAAATAATAGTTACTTTGATAATTCTTTACCTAAAGTAACTTCTAATCATAAATCAACAAGTATTTTTTCTTATATAAAAAAATTTATACCATTAATTTAATACTTCTAATAAAATTAATTTTACTGATTCTCTTATTATTATTAACCTTTAATATCAAATTAATTTTTTCTATTTATTAGCTTAGGTTTGTCATCATCATAAATTCTTTCTATAATCAATATATTTTAGATTAGTACTGTTTGTATTTACAAAGATTAAATAGTATTACTATATAGCTCATATAACGATAATTAAAGATGGCACAGTAGTTAAGAAATTGCAACTTCTTGTAAATTAATTTTAATATAAAAATTCATAAATAGTTGTAACTCAAAGAATTGCAACTTAAATTATAACTAGTTAAAAATTTTAAAAATAATTATAAAAATCATTTTTAATGATAATAAAAAATTTGGTGATATTTACTTTCCAAGTAGAATCTAAAGTTTTATGCTGTAAAACTTTATATTTAATATATATTATAAATCTTAAAACTTTGGTTTAAATTTTTTACGTAAATAATACATAGTCCAGTAAGTTTCTTCTTCAGAATTTTTATTATATATAACTTTTGGAATTGTCAAAAATACCTGTTGAAAACTGTGTAATTAGCAAGATTATTTTTGTTAAAACAACATAACAGATGTCTTGAAATATATAATTATAGTTTTTTATTATTATATAAAAGATTATCAAGATTTCAGCTTACTTTAAACTGTATAAAAACAATATTACATAAGTTTATATAATGATCAATCATGCAAATATTCATTATGTTTATAAAATTATTTATTTATAAATATTATTCAATATAATAAAATGAGTATATGTAATTTAATATTTGTATGGTTATATAAATTAAAGTATTGTAAATATAAAATCGAAATTTTAAAAACTTATATTTTTCAATTTTATGTGAACTAAGCTTTATTATATGATTCAATTTTTGACTTGTGGTTATTTCTCTTACAAAAAACCAAATAAAATGACATTCTATAATATTTATAATTTTTGAATTATTGAATTTCATTTTTTCTTATAATTGTATAAAAGCTATCTTAAATCTAGGATTAGCTAAATTAGTTGTAATTTTATTAGAACATATAAATTTATTATTTAAATTTAAAGGTTTTCAAATTAAAGCTATAAAATATAATTATAAATTTGATAATAATTCATTTATAATGATTGTTATATCAAATTCTAAAACTTCTAGACTTAAAGTTTAAAAATACACAATATATTAAAAAAATAGCTATTATTGCAGTTTTGTATATTTTACTTTGAATCCCATTATATTTACAAATATAGGTTAAAGACAAAATCAATTGAACTACTTTAGTTATAAATTCATACTTATTTAATATAACTAATATTTTGAAATACAAACAAATTGATTAAAGTAAAATTATATCATTATTTTATCAATATGTTAGAAAAATCACCAATTATGATAAAAAAAATCTAAATATTCAAAGGTTTATCTTAAATATTATAAAAGATTATATTTTTTATATTTAAGTATAGGTGAAGAAAATAAGCTAAAGAGAATTAACAGATTCTAATAAACATTCAAAAACTATAAGTCAATTAATTATTCTTATATTTATATATTAAAATCACTAATTAGTATGCAAATTATAAATTAATTTAATTATATTTTATTATATTAAAATAAGAATAACTTTTAATAATAAACTATTTTAATATTATAATATATAAAAATTAATCATTAAATTATTTTTAAAATAATAATTTATTTAATAAAAAAAATAAATTAGTTTAATTATAGTAATTTATAACTAATTATTTATAAGATATAAAGTTTTTTTTTTAAGAAAGATAAAATAAAAATTTACTTATAAATTAAAATTATTATTTTTTTTTTAAGATTTAACATTAACTTAAAAAAAAATTTAGAGTTTATTTTCTTTTTATTTTTATTTGATTCTTAATCTTAATTTTTAAGTAAAATTAAAGTGAATTTATATTAATTAGTAACTTTTTTACAGTTAACCCTTGATATAACGAATTTTATGTCCTGAACTTCAACTTCGCTATAGAGCTATAGTGAATTTTTTAAAGAATTTGATTGGCTAGTTCGTTATAACGAGGGTAAATTTAATATAGTTGTCCAAAAAATTCGTTATATAAAAATTCGCTATAGAGAGGTATGACTGTATATAAATTTAAGATTAAATTTAAAATTTTATATTTTTTATAATTAAAAATTTTAAAAACTTTTAAAATTATATATATTATTAAACTTAATATTTATAAAATATATATTTTTATATTTAATATTATAACTATTAATAATAAAAATTATTTAGTAATAATAAATTTATAATAAATTTTATTAGGGATGTTAATAGTTCCAAATATTTGTAAACAAATATAGAAATTACGAGTTATAAAAAAGTCTAATTGCTTATTTATAATAAAAAACTTTGATAAAAAATTGTAATAATAAATTTTATGAATAACTTTTAAAAGAAATATAAACTTTGAAATTACCAATTTTTATAAAACTAGCAAGATGGAATCCAGTCTTTAGGATCAGATTCTAAGTTTTAAAAATTAAGATTAGATTCCTTTATAAGTTTAATATTTATTTTTAATAAATAAATTATCATTAGAAAATACCAATAAAATAAAAATCTTCTCTAAAACTAGCAAATTTATTGGAATTATTAGGATTATTTAGGACTTTTAATATTTCTAAATTTTATAATTAAAAAAAACAAATAATTATAAATTTTATAATTTATATAAAATTATGATTAAATTTAAATAAAAATTTTTATTATTACTTAATTAATTTTTATATAATAGATTTTATTTAATATAATAATTAATAAATCTTATTTTTATAAAGAATAATAAAAATAAAAAATTTTAATTATAAAAAGATTTTTTTTAATATAAATTTAAATAATTTGATATTTTTTAAATTTTAAAATTTATTTTAAATTATAAAATTTGATAAATTAAAAAATAAATAAATAATTAATTATATAAAAAATTAAAAAATTTATTATTATTATTAATAATTATAAAATAAATTAAAATTATATAATGTTTTTTTTAATTATATTATTTATAACATAATCATTAGAATATATAAAAAAATATTTAATAAATGTAAAAATAATATAATTTAACAAATAATAAAAATCATATTAAAAGAATTAATATCTAACATTTTATTCATATAAAATAATATTTTTTATTTTAAATCAATTTAATATTATATAATCTAATATTTAATATATTTCTGTTTCTTAGAAAAATAAAAAATATTTTTTGTTAGATTCAAAATATATTATTATACAACCTTTTAAAAAATGTTTAAAAATATTGATTTATACTTTATACTTAATAATATACAATTATTATTAATATAATAAATATCTTGTATTTATAATTAAATTTGCATAATTTTAATTAGATGTGATTTGTAAACAAATTACTAAATAAAAATTTGTCATTATTATTTTTTGCAAATAAAATAACTTGCGTTCTTAAATGTAAATGTAAATATATAATTCATATATATATATATATATATATTTCCTTTCTTTTTCAAAGAATGCATTTTGAATATAAATAACCAGATAAACAAATGTTAAAATCAGGGTGTGAACAAATAATTCAATACATCACGTTCCTCATTTTTAATTTTTATATAATTTATATTTGTTCATTTACGCGCTCCTTACAGTGAATTGTCGACCAATTTTTGAAATATGAAAAAAATTTTTAACAATGATTGTATTAATGTAATATTTCTTGTCTACCTTTTTATTAAGTGATTTTAAAGGGGGAAATTATTGAAATTCCATTTGATACTTTAGGCTGTTGTAAAGGAAAAGGTTTATATTAGATTCCGTAAAACGAAAAAGTCACCAGCAGGGTTTATTTCAATTCATCGACAAATAATTTATAATTACATTTGGGAGCTTCCTTGTAGGCTGCAACAGCTTCCTCTCCCATCGCACTGACGACGGTGACCAAGTATTCCTTACCTATTCAATTAGAAAAAGTTCAATAATTTAATTAACCATTAAATTCACAAAAAAAATTCGAAAATATCTAATCACCTTCTTTTAGCCCTTTATTAATGTTAATATAAGTTTCGCTATTTTCGTCAATGTGAACATCATCCTTCGTACCACCATCAGAAGTCATCAAGCTCAAAAAACCATCTTCAGCACAGTCAATAAGCGTAAACTCAGTACCTGATAAAAGAATTAATAAATTTAATAACAAAAAGATTTGAATCAACCTTTTATAATAAATAATTAGATAAAAGAAATTAGCTCACGAGTAACATGAGGAACATCCATGTTATGGGTTGATGGAGAAATATCTTTAATTAAAAATGGTAATTTAGTTTGCATTTAAAAGAGTATGTAGCACAATAAAAAAATGTATAGAGAATTTTCTCTAAATCAATAATATAATTTCAGTCATTTCTCACCTTCAAGCTTCTTATTAGTAAAAATATCTAGTCCGACAAGATGGACTTTCTAATTAATTGTATTATAATTTAAACAGATAAATTTTATAAATTTATAAACACGAAGTAAATATTCAAAAAGAGGTAATGTTTCACACACACTCCAATAATGTTATCAGGAAAAACATACCGCGTGTCCATGTTTACCAGTCTTACTCGTAGACATTTCAATGATCTTACATGGCCTACCTTTAAGTACAACGTGACCGTTCTAAACAAATTACATCAAAATTTGTAACTTATTATAGTATCGTCTTTTAAGAAGAAAAAATAAAAAAATTTTTTCACCTTTCTGAGGGCAGAACATTGCATCGGATAAGTAGTTGATGCTCCAGATCCTGATGCTGATTCAAATTCATGATGTTCGTCGTCTCCCATTTTTGTTAAAATATAAACTAATATAAAAAAAAAGGACAAGAAAGGGGGGGATATTACAATTAGAAAGTAAAAATTCTTATATACACTATATGCATAAAAATGTCCTCGGAGTTTCGAATTTTGTTTTTTTAGGGCAAAAAGAAAGATAATTGGCTGCAAACATGCATGAGTGTTGATCAACATCTAATCTGATAATTCATCTTGTCGTACGAAGATATAAAGATAATAAGCCTCAAAATAGCAGATGTTTGGTAAAAATCATTATTGAATCTGTTGTTTTTCTTATTTCTACTAATATTTGGTTAAAAAATCAAAAAATAGTTAATTATATCATTATGATCATTAATAAATTAATTATTTTGTAATAATGATGCTTAGTTTGATTGTAAAATTATGATGTAAATCCTTATATCAAAAGTATTTAAAAAAGCAAAAAAAAAAAGCTAAAGAATGAAATAACCCTTTTTCTTTCGAATCATAATAACAACCATAAAAATAAAAACCTTGTAATATTACGAAAATGTGCTCTAAAGAAGAAACACCTAAAAATATTGGAGAATTCACAAATGTCCCAAAACAAAACCTTCAAACACAACCTGGTGTTACGCATGAAATGACGCCACGTCCTTTGGTTCATCACTTGCCCACTGGTGATCATTTGGAAGAATACCGTGGTGCTGATAAATTAAAAAATAAGATTGCACTGATTACCGGAGGAGATAGTGGTATTGGACGTTCGGTTGCCGCTCTATTTTCTTTAGAGGGCGCGTCTGGTATCGCTATTACTTACCTTCCTCGTGAAGAAAAGGATGCACGTGAGACAAAAGAGAGAATCGAAAAGCAATCTAAAACCGAAGTAATATTAATATGTAAAGATATCGGAAGTGAAGAAAACGCAAAAGATGTTGTAAAACAAGTGATTAATAAATGGGGAAGAATTGATATTCTTGTAAACAACGCTTCTGAACAGGTATTTTCTCATGGCAATATTTTGTGGCGTAGCACTTCACTATCGAAATTTTTAATTGCTTTTTATATAGCATTTAACAGAACGTATTGAAGATTTGTCGAGTGAACAGTTCGAACGAACCTTTAGAACAAATATTTTTGCCATGTTTTACCTTGCAAAACACTCGGTCCCATATATGAAAGAAGGCAGTGTGATCATCAATACAACTTCCGTTACCGCGTATAAAGGGCACCCAATGTTGCTCGATTATTCCTCGACCAAGGCAACGAACGATATTACCCCTCATAATTTTTAATTAAATTTTAAAATAATAAATATTCCTAAAATAAAATGCTTTTCTAAAAAAAAAATAGGGATCCATCGTCTCTTTCACAAGATCTCTTTCTGAACAATTACTCAAACGTGGAATTAGAGTCAACGCCGTAGCACCTGGTCCAATTTGGACGCCACTTATTGCCTCCTCTTATCCACCCGAAAAAATGGAAAGTTTTGGAAAGCAAGTTCCAATGAAAAGAGCCGGACAACCATCTGAAGGTATTTATGGTATAAATTTAATAATAAAGAATTTTTTAATTTTTAAAATCACACATTTTAATTTTTTGTGTAGTGGCACCATCCTATGTTTTCCTGGCTAGCAATGATTCAAGTTATATGTCCGGACAAGTACTTCACCCTAATGGAGGATCTGTTATCAACGGTTAACTTTTTTCCGTTTCTCAGAGCTAAAATACCAGAATCTTTTTTTCCTTTTTTTTTCTCCTTGTCACCATCCATCCCTTTTTTATTTAAAAAATTCGATTCTTTTGTACTTTGTATTCCTACGATTGAAGATTTAAATAAATGCTAAAAATAATTGCGTGATTAGATATTTAGTTCAATCATTTCGCTTTTAAATGTGAATCCTACAAATGACGGGATTTGACTTTGTAAGGTGTCAAGAACACAGCCACAAATACATAATATGCGAAGTTATTCGTGCTAAACTTTTTAAGATAAAAGATATGGCTCGGGAATTGTACAAATCGAAAATTATGTTGTGATACATTAAAGGGGTTCTAAATGTTTGGGAATGAATAGTAAACAAACTTATTATTTCTCTTTCAAAAAGAACAATTATATTATTGTTCATTGTATGCCAATTTTGAAACGAAAGCCCCATTTTATTAGAAACAATTCAATTTGTGGAAATGTTAGTGGTTACCCTTACTTAAATTAATTTACCTTTGCTTTTCAAAGTTTCACCTTAAATTTAAAATAAACTTTTTGTGTCCTTGATTACTTTATTTATGTACCCCTAAAATCTGTGCCATCACATGATCTAACCTTATATGATTATCGGGATATTTACCACATGTGAGATGATAGAGATGATATCATTTGCATAACTATGTCATTTCATTGGGATGCAAATTCATCTCTCATTATTTAATGAATTCATTCTTTAATAATATAGTGGCAAAAAAATAATTAAAAGGTTAAAAATTAAATCCTTTAATTAAGACGAAATATATTTTGTGTAGAATTAATTGAAAAATTACAAATAAATATCAAATTCGGAATCCACAAACTATATATTATTTATATAATGTACACGCAAAAAAACTACCTCGCAGAAGATGCTGTTCATGTGGTTTGTATCATAAACAAAGCAAGATAAACGGATTATTTTTCTCTTTATGGAAATGAGAGAAAGAGATAATTATGTAATGTAATTCAATTTATAGAATGAATTAGTGACAATCCGTTTATAGAATATTTAAAGATCGATCCCATGCACAAATTATTTGGTACTTCCCTCGAATATCTTCAGTTTTAAATTTAGCTGATAATTAAACATTGCATATATAAAAAAACATAATAAGTGTACGCCCAGTCATGTTTATTTATATCATCCAATTCTCCCGCCTCAATAGCGTCATCTTAATAAGGTATAAATAGAAACCGATTTTTTGTCAATCGACCGTTTTTATTACTTTCTCCTTTAATCTTTTTTTTTTTTTTTTTTTTTTTGTTGTTGATATATACGTATATATTTATATATATATAATTCCTTCGAAGATTAAAAAGTTCTGCCAAACTCAGTCCTTAAAAATACGCCCCATTTTTTTTCCTTTCTTTCCCTAATAGTTTTTCGATATAATTTTTTGACCTTTTACCGGAAGCATTTTTTACTTTATTATAGATTCTTTTGTATATATATATATATTTTTTCCTCTTTTTTGGGGCAAGTATTTTCATCAAAACCAAAACACACCCATAACTACTTTTTCTCCCGTTTAAAGCCTTTGCTGGACAATCGCAACTTTCCTTAAAATAGAATTCTTGTAACTCGTTTACAAAGTTCTCATCAAACTAAAAAAAAAAAAAACAGCAAAAGCATACCATTTTTTTTTTAAAAAAAAAATCAATCAACATGCAATTTATAAAAGAAGAGAAAAAGTCCGGGTGGTTAACAAAGCTCGGAGGAAATGCTCTAAGAAAGACCTGGAAACGTCGTTGGTTTGAATTAAGAGGAAGTTACTTGTATTATTATCGACAACAGGTTTGTATTTTGAATGATTATTGATATTAGGTTTTGAGTAAGGTTATATTATATATCTAAACTTATTTTTAAATTTCTTTTAGACCGATAAAGAACCTTCAGGAATGATAAATCTTTCGTCATTTAACTCCATATGTCAAGATACATCTGCTACAAAAAAATCACAATATTGCATACGTATCGAAAAGGTTGTCCGTGAATGTGATTCTATTCATTCGAATTTAAGTTACCGAGAATCATCTTCAAAAAAATCTACTTTATTTCTTGCATTCGCTGATAATGAAGGCGAAATGCAAGATTGGATTACGGTTCTTGAAAAACGTTTAAGTGGACGAAATATTGTTGATATTGTTTTAGATAGATTAGAACTTACCGGTATGCATAGAAGGCAATGCAGCTATGGTTCGCTGAATTCTTTCTATTCTAAAAACAGCAACTTCTCTTCAGGTGGGTCGACATCAGGATCGGCTTTATCTTCTGGTCGTCCATCTTTGGATTCTTTTAGTTTAGACACTCCATCTTTGGATTCAAGAAAGAGTTCAATGGATTCATTCCATAGTGCGCAAATCAGTTCTGTTAATATTGCGAATACTACCTCACATTCTCGTCCAGACACTCCTTCAAGTTTAGTTGAAAGACTTGGAATTGGACAACCAATTCTTCGTAAACCTGCCTCACATTCATGTTTGCAAGATAGACGTAATTATAGTGGCAGCGACAATGGGCATAATCATAGTAATCATGTTCGTAAACTTTCCCTTTCCCTGAAAGAGTTTCCAAATCGGGCTCCACTTATCATGGTTCATGGAGAAAATTCGAAATTTACATCCTCACCTGATGTCGTTTACTTTCCCGGCAACAACAATGGATTAAAAAATTACAACATAAAAAAGACTGAAGGAGATGAATTTGGTGGAAATCAAAACCCATCTTCATCTGTTACTCCAACTGCAAATGTTTTCCCGAGTCATTTGACGGATCAAAAATGATTTCTTTGGCTAAATGTGATCATGACATTTAAAATAATCTAGTTAGATGGACATTTGGTTTTTCTTTTATCTTTAAAAAAAAAATAATCTTTGGATTATTGGGGAGTGGAGATAGTTGAGCATAATATAAACATTCTCACCTTTCATTTGCAAAATTTTTGTATATACACAATCACAATATATATATATAATATATATATATATATATTTCTTTTTTTTTTTTTTTTTTTTTTATATATAGACTTTTTTTTTTCCTTTCCCTTTTCAAAATTATTGTATATTTTTCTATTTCTTTTTATCGGACATAAGTTTAATAATCTGTTGCCGATAATTAGTGTTTGTATGTAGGATGTACCGCATAACTTATTCTATTCATCACATTGAATACGAAATATATATTTCGTTTTATAGATTTTTAAGAGCATATTATATATAGAATTGCATTGTTTTTTTTATTTTTTTTTTTATAAAAAAAAATTGTTTAATGGAAAAAAATAAAGTATTGTTATAGAAAGGCTAAACACAAAATATTTATTTTAAATAATAATTTAATGATTATTACATTCATATAAAGCACATTTGAATGTGTGACAAATTATGGTTAGACGGACATTTTATAACATAAAAGCTACATGTCTCTTTATTGCTATCACATCATACATTAAAACTTCTATTTAAATCAATAAAACTTTCCAATCGCGCAATATAAGACCAAATTTGGATAATAAACGTGTCATCGAAAAGACGCGTTTTTTTGTAAACTATTAATAATTTAATAATATTTATAATATTTAATATGGGAAATTGTCGAACTAATTTACTTAATATTGTTTCTATTCGTTAATTTGGGACTGATTCGCAAATTTAATAATGGAATTTATCTCGTTATGACTTCATCGTAAGCAGGTGGCAATTCATCTGGAGCTACTGGTGGTGTTCTAACTTCAATAGTAGAAGTATTACGAGAAGTCATGTCACCAGCAGCTTGCTCAATGTTAATGAGAGGAACATCTGGTGATAAAACATTGGAAGATACTGCACCTGATGACGAGTGTGCAGTTGATGAAGAATTTACTTGACGTGGTGTATAAGTTGGCAATGGTTCAGTATGTTCCACTAAAGACCCTTCATTCTCTATTAGTATAGAAAGTTCATGAATATACATGCATCCCTTTTAGTTTATAAATAAATATCTCGCAATTAAAATGTAATTCATACCAAACAATCTCAACATTAAACTGTTATAATTTGAGCTGAATTCAAATCCACCTATTTTAAATATTAAACAAGGAAATAAAAATATTAGTTATTTAACACAAAGGATCCAATAATGATCATTAAAAATTGAATACATACCTCCTTCTTTGAAGGTAACTTTTAATTGTCCTGGAGCTGGGAGACCACCATTAGGAACCTTACATAATCCAATATAAAGCCTTAATATTTAAACAAATATCAAAAATATAATTTAAAGAATAAATCATAAAATTTTTTTGCAAACGCGAAATACGTACTGGAGTTACAATGGCTTGATAATAATTTGCCCCGAACCAAGGTTGTTGAAGCTTTCCTTCTTTCATATTCAAAAGAGGCACACTCAGAGATTTAAAGTGTTGCAAAGATGGTCGCGAAATAAATATTACCTAGAAAGTAATAAATACCAATACTCTGAGAATAACTCAAATTTATATTCCGGCTTAATTTGGTGAGATAGGTGAGATACATACGCGTTGGTTTGTTAAGTATATGCCTCCGTCGGCTTTATAAGTTCCTGCATTACCAGGATAACCACTAGCAATGTTAAATACCAATTATATGTTAATCTCATAAAACTGTTGTTATAATTATTATTGTAAAAAAAGGAGAAAACAAGAAAACATACCCGCCCATATCAAAAACAAGAGAAACTTTATCTTGTCTGTATAATTAAATAATGAGAGTGAGTTGCAATGACCAATGGGCTTGTGCATTAAAACACAAAACAAATTATCACTATCTATAACTTACTCTAAAATAATCTTCTCCCCAGGAAGAGGTACCGGACTTTTCCCATCGGAAGCAATCATAGCCCAATTCAATGCCATTTTGAATTTAATTTTTAATTTTTAAAGAAATTTATGTTTTGAGTTGATTGAGTTTATCATGGAGTAATTTATTTGGTTGTTGACAGACACTGTACAACATCGTACCGAATGGATGACATCATATCACCTTTTTTTTTTAAAAAAAAAAAATTATCGAGTTTGAAATCAATCAATCTTTGCCATACAACTATTAAAATAATATCAAATGTTTCATTTAACTCTCCTCTTGAAGACATCTTGCTTAATAAAGGGTATTTATTTATTATTTGATATTGTATTGTTATCAAAATTACATGATGATACGAACCCATATGGTTTCGGGTGATTTAAAAAATGATCCAAGAGACAAATAACATGCACTACCATCTGAATGATTGAATAAAATAATTTGATTGTAGTATATATTATATATTTATTTATTTAATATTTTAATAGATTGGTTATTTATTTAAATGTTAGGTTCGTAAGGCTTCGAGTGAATTAATTGGGTTTTTTTTAAAAGGTATTTATCTGAAATTACTTTCCGTGCATTTTTATATTCCGTAATGATGATAACCATAATTATTCAGTTCTGCTTCTGATATATTGTGAAGATAACAACTTACCAAAACTTTATGTCTGATATTAAGAATAATATTGTTCATTCTATCATTTATTTTCGAAAATATTATTTATTAATTTTATTTCTTCGTTTTGAAAGTTTTGTAGTAAATGACCAACCATGCGGAGATTGTTGTTACGTAGGTGTATTTTAAAAATTTGTTAACCTATTAAATTTTTTCGAAATGATGTTTTTTTTAATCAATCCGTGTTTCAAATGAATTCATTTTGTGATTATATTGATTCCTGATCGCAATTACATTTATTTCTCATTTAATTATTACGATTTATACGATTTACTAATTATATCATAATTTATTTCCAACAGAAAAGTATAAGTACAGATTTATTTTTACAAAGTAAGTAAGATCAGAGTTTCTTCTGAAATTTGCAACTGCGATCGTGATGATACCACAGTTATATCCATTCGATGATAGGGAATCACATTGCGAGCAATCACCGAGCGACGTTTATTCTGTCAAAGGTTCTCTTTGATTGATTAAATGAAGCTCATCGGTTGATCGCGGTGGGAGATCTGTTTAGTTCATTCTGATTTTATTATAGGTCGGTTCGATGCTTTTCAGGTCTTTTTTGTATTCCCGACAAGATATGAAAATAACTTCTGATAACAAAATGAAATCTTTTTTTTCTTCCTTATAAAAGGATTTAATTCATCAAAAAATTTTTTTATTTATTTAATATTTTTTAGATATGATGAAATCGAATAACAATAAAATGATTCTGTTATGCGGGAATGTCGCACAATTTTTTTTTTCATATGTATTATGACCTTTATCCTAAAATGGCAACAATTCTGTAAACATAAAAAAAAATATATAATAATAAAATTAATAATAATATAATGTTGATCTATAAAATATAAGAAACAATGTCATATGTTTGAATTTTTGGCGCTTTTATTTTTTATTTTTTTATTTTTTTTTCAAATCGTCGTCATATTTTGGTATTACTGACATATTACACAAAGTACATCGTCTACGTGTCTGAACTCCAAAGGAGGCTTAAATGTAATCTTGCATCTTATTGTGTTCTTTACTCTGCAAATTAGTAACCAACGAGGTAAGGTCAGTTGTCAACTATCACCTGGCTCTCTCAACACATCTTTGCCAAATCTGGAAACTCTCAACTCAATCATATTGAAAACGAAACCTTTTTTTTTTTAGAGGGCGCTTTAAAAGTTTTCTTTTAAAACTTTGAATAATTCCTCCGAGTCCTTAACTAAATGACTCAAACTTACTCTCACTTCCTTTACATTTAGTTTATCTTTTTTTTTTTTTTTTTTTACCTTTTAACATAATAAATTTATAAAGGGTTACTCGATTGTGTGTTTTTTTTTATCTTTCTTCTTTTATTATTCTTTTACTTTTAAAAATCGGGAAATTGTTGAACAATCTTTCGCTCAAATAACACTCTACAAATCTAGAAATGGGTGTCGTATTCTCACGCTTTCGGTCCCAAAACGAGGATAATTTTGAGAAAATTCTTTCAGAGATTGACGATAAGATTAGTCGAGCCGAAGTTCGATTACGCGAAATAAGAATACGTGAACGTAGTGCATTGATAATTTGGATCGTTTATTCTATGTTAGCCTACGTTGCATATGTGGCAGGTTATTGGTATTTTGTTTATATGTCTATTGAAGAAGAAGGTTGGGATTTTATGAAGATTGCACCAGTTTTTACTGGTCCCTTTTTAATAGTGATTGGATATAGATTTTTAGCTTTATGGTATAAAAGAAAAGAAACCAACGAAATATCTCAACTCGAACACCTTAGAGCTAAACAAAGACAAAAGGTAGAGGAGTTGAAAAATAAACACAATTATTACTCAACCAAAGATTTAGTGGAACGCTATGATTTCCCTAAGGGACCAAAGGGACCACCACAAGTAAATCAACAAAATCAACCAATTCAAAATGGAACTGCACGTCCTAGGCAACCTATAAATCCTAATAATCCCAATCTTCGTCAAAGAAATGTTCCAAATCTTCAAGCGCCAGGGGTTAATAGTATTAATGGAGATCAAAGAAATAACAATGCATCAAACGTAGGGAGCGGAGGAGCTCATGGTGGTAATGCATCACCACAAACCAAATATGATCCGAACAGTCCAAATTCAATTTCACCTATTCAAAAACGATGGTTTGATAAATTGGTGGATGTAATTGTTGGGGATGATGAACAAAAATATGCATTAATTTGTCAAAATTGTTTTACATGGAATGGTTTAGCTTATCCCGCAGATTTTGAAGATGTTCAATATTATTGTAAAAAATGCAATCATTTTAATTCATCTCGACGAAGTCAACTTAGCGGAACATCTTTAAGCGTGTCACCCAGTCTCACAAACGGTAATAATAGTAACGATAGTAATGAAAATCATCTTAACATCACTAATAGTCACTTCAATAAGTCAAATGGTCCATCTCAACTAGGTGATCCTTTAACTCCGCGAAGAGGACGTTCAACCACACCAAGACCCATGAGTCGAACTAATTCTTCGGATCCTGAAAAATTAATTTATAATGATGATTATGATGATGATGGTGTTTCTGTTAGTAAGACTTTGGCTTCTCGATCCAACAGTAGGAAGGGAAGGAACAGTCGAAGTCAAAATAGGATTGGAGATAATCGCCATGGAAATAATGAAGATGTTAAACCATACTCCATCAGTGATGATGAAAGCGTTTCTCGTGAAGAATAAACTTTTATTCTCTAATTGAACGTTACAAATGGAAAAATATCAAAAAAAAAAAAAAACTGTTTTCGGATTATATTTACAATTCTAGCATTTAGTATTTAGTACAAACAAATATGTTCTGTTTCTTTTCTTTTCTTCCCTTTTTTTTTCCTGATTTTAAATGCTTTGTTCCAATCTCGAGTTTTACTGACCTTTACAAGGAAAAATTTTTATTGTTGATTTGTCTATATTTTTTTACCGCTTACAAAATATTATATTTGATATATGGTTACCTGAAATCATAAACAATCAGACAAATGTGATATGATGAATCGTTTTCGTTTCAAAGTTAGTAAGAGTTGAATAAACCTATATATTTAGGCAAGTGATTTTATAATATAATTGAAGGTTTGTAAAATATATTATATATATATATAATTCATTATATTTTCTATTTTAAGTAATATGGTTATATTAATTGAGTCGAGAGAATTTTAGTTATAAATAATTTGAAAATAAAAATATTAAGAAAATTACATCGGTTATAAAGATATATTTAATTATTTAAAATCAATCAATAAAACATATATACAGGGCACATAAAATTTCTTTTTTTAAATAACCACCCTCCTCTTTAAATGCACATTTTTTCAAATTTCACTATTATGCATTTAGAGAGGTCTCACTGTAACTGTTATCAAATCTTTAAATTAAGGGTTTAGCTCCGAACGGTTCGAAAGTTTTCGTCCAGCTCGATTTGAAAAGGATAATCCAGATTTTCGATTATTCTCCCAAGGTCGTAACTGGAATATATGTTGTAAATTACTTTAAAAGATGAAAAGATGAATAGATTGTAAGTAAATATCATTATATATATATATATATATATTTTAAAAAAAGTTATTATAAAAGAAAGTAACTTACTTGTATTGTTCTTTTTGTGTTAATGGATCGTTATACGAAGCCGGACAACGCTAATATGTCCAACATTATTATTATACGTTGGACTACAATATCATAGTCTTCATTAATTATGAAAGAACTAGTGTTTATTGCTTTCATTTCACCATCAAATTGAGATGTGCTGGTGTATTCGAAGTCCCTTATTTTGTTAATAAACATCTCAATAAGCAAACCCTAAACCAAAGTATATATAAGAAACCTGAAACTATTACAGTTTGTTTTTTTCAAAGGGATGATTGTTGACGAAAGTGCTTTACTGAATAAACCAGAATTTTTTGAAGGTAAACAAGTAAAGATTAAAACCCCCGACTTTTACAAGTATTCTCATAAACAAGTTAATATATATCATATCCAATGATAATTTGTGTAACATAATTTTTTTTCAATAACAAGGATTTTTTATATTTATTATCATTTAATTTTATAAAGTATAATCTCATAAGATATATAAAAATTTTACTAATAAAATATAATAAATTAAAATAAAATTTAATAATAATTTAATTATTTTAGTAAAATCTTATATAGTCAAATTAGTCATTAAATTAAAATAAATTGATTTATTTATAATAAATTAAGTTAATTCAAATCAAATTTAATAATGTAAAATAACTTTCAAAGCAATATAATAAAAATATTTTTTCTTTAAATATAATATTCTAATAATATTTTCTTAAAATAAATATTTCAAAAACAATTTTAAAAAAATTTCTTTAATAGTATTAGATTATAACTATATAACTATATATAATATATATATATAGGGTTCCTCAAAATCGAATCGAATCAAATATTTAAGCAATTTGAATTTGATTTGATTTTTTCAAATCGAATCG